CAGGTACTATGCGAAAATGTAGAAGGAAAGCTTCAGTCGTAGTTAGTCAAGAATAAAATGAATTTAGCACAAATGTCAAGTTAGTACTTCTACAACATGGTTTGGAGACCTGTTATGCTACGAAAAGCATTTTCCAACAAGCTACTTCAGACTTCCATTGAACCAGAACCTGCACCCTCTCCCGATAGTGAAGATCAGATGATCAGGAAAACAAAGATAAGCATCAGGAAACTCAGGTAGTGTCAGCGATCCAACAATATATTGCCCAACAAACATGGACACAGACTGGACATATATGCTGAGGACACCGTCAAGTAATATCACACTATACTTGAATGGGAAGATGTGTGTGAGGTATGGGTCGAAGACTGACACATAAAGGAGGTCACCTAAAGTTATGATTAGTGTCAAAATAAGGAAGGTAAACAGTCCAATGGGCTACTGAATCTCTAACGGTTATGGCAACAATATGTGATAGGCATTACAAGCCAGATTCCATAAATGAGCAATATGAGCTAAAGTAGGAAATAGTTACCAATGTTGAGACTGGTATATGATACTGTATGATCCAGCTGAAAAGTGTCCAGCTTAAGGATGATGAGATAAAAAACTAAACACATACTTAAGAATGATAAAAATAGTCATCTTGAGGAATTTCGGCTTCATATCTGTCTCCTATGGAAACAGTAACGAAGCCAGAAAAGTTAGTAAACACAGTGGGATTAATTTTAGTTTAATTGTGTTCTCTGAGGTGGCTGATTTAATTGCGGAGCTTTCGTCGTCCTTCTTCTAGAAAACATCTTTAGTGAAGGTTTTAGTATGAAATGAACTCATTTAAATTCTTCACAATTGATCATATAGTCTGTCTGTCTGGATTCAACATAGAACTTGGCACTGAAGTGCAGCAGTTCGAGTTGCCACGTTCCAAATAGCACACAGAGGTAGACAAGAAGATGAGTGAAGAGAATCAATAGAGTTTGACAAGTATAAGAGTGAAACAGAATGGGTAATGGTAGAAAGGAATATGAAAGATTACAGAGACTGAATACATCTGCGCTGGCCATTGACAACGATTTTGAGCCATGTCACCTATTGTCTCCAGCCATTGATTCCTAGAGTCCCGAGGGCCCCAACCCGGGAGTCTGCATCTCCCTACCTGACTCAGTTTAACTGTCAAGGATTTCATGGATTGATGAGGCCATGTTTTTGTTTGGCCACCACTGGCTCTTTTCCAACCTGCACCTATATCAGCTAGCAATGCCCGTCGGGGGAGGCGGTGGTTAGGCATGCGCAGCACGTGACCTAGCCATCTTAGTCTATGTAACTTTATAGCCTCGTCGATTGATTTTCCCTCTTTGCCCAACACTCTACGCCTAACGTCAACATTACTTACCTTATTAAACCACCTAACGTGAGACAGAGATCGCAGACATCTATGATCGAAAGCAGTCAACCTTTTCATGTCTTCAACGCGTATTGGCCATGTTTCAGAGCCATAGAGAAGGACGGAGCGAACTGATGAGCAGTACACACGTCCCTTGGTTGATAACCGGATGTCACGCCTACGCCAGAGATGGTGTAAGTCAGCGAAAGCAGCTCGAGCTTTTCGGATCCGTGCTGAGATTTCATCGCCAATCAGTCCGTTGGTGCTAATACAACTTCCCAAATAGGTGAAGTGGTCAACATGTTCTATCACTTCACTCCCTATCACTAAGTTAGGAGTTGACGTGGTCCAGTCCTGTAGCAGCATCTTACATTTTGTAGGGGCGAATCGCATGCCAAACATACGGAGATTGCTGCTCAAGGTGTTCAGAAGACTCTGCTGTATTTTGTCAGCATCCTCCCCTAACAGGACTATGTCATCTGCATATTCTAAGTCCATAAGACTATTCCCTGGTAACAAGTCGATTCCTAAGTCATTACGTTCAGTTAAGGATACTTCCATCAGCATATCTATGATGAAGTTAAACAGAAATGGGGAAAGTGGACATCCCTGTCGGACACCACTGGTTGTTACCAATTCAGATGACAATTCCCCATAAGCCCTTACACGACTACGTGAGTTTGAATAGAGTGCCTTGATTAGTGCAATGTACTTTCTTGACACTCCCTTCACAGTCAGACATTGCCATAGTACCTTTCGATCCACGGAGTCGAAGGCCGCCTTCAAGTCAAGAAATATGACGATTGTTGGACGCCGAAAAGTGTGTCTATGTTCTAGAATCTGTCGAAGAGTGAAGATATGATCTATGCACCCTCTACCTGGTCTAAAGCCTGCTTGATTTTCCCTTGTCTGTTCCTCCCGAGTTCTGCTTAGTCTATGCATGATTACTGAGCCTAGGATTTTAGAGACTATGTTCGTTAGGCTGATCCCCCTATGATTATCACACGAGGACTTGTTTCCCTTCTTGAATATCGGTATAATAAGTGACTTACCCCAGTCTGATGGCACTGTCTCTGATTCCCAGACGTTGCCTAGTACCTCAGTTAATCTACAAACTAGTGTGTCAACCCCATATTTAAACACCTCCGGAATAATTTCGTCGGGTCCTGCCGCTTTGCCTCGCTTCAAATTACTGATAGCTTTTGTGACCTCACTTACAGACGGCGGACCAGTGTCTATATCCCATTCGGGTGTGTTCTGGATGTCGGGGAGGTTCAGTGTGGCTGTAGGCAAGTTAAATTGTCCCTCAAAGTGTTCTTTCCAGCGTTCAAGGCGTCTATCCTGAGAGCTAATTAAGGAGCCATTTTTCTCAGAAATAGTCTCACTTATGAATTGCCTTCTCCCACCCGATTCTGTGATGAGTCTAAAGAGTTGCCTAGTGTTCCCTATAGTTGTATCTCCTGACAATCATTTTCGTGACTTGTTGTTAATTTACGTCTCTTGATAATTTTTATCCACATGCAAATAAATACTATTCATGGAGAACTCAAATAAGTTCATTTCATACTAAAAACCTGCACTGAAGATGTTGTCTAGAAGAGAGACAAAGAAAGCTCCGCAGTTAAATCAACCAGCTTAGAGAACATAACTAAATCAAAATTATTCACCTGAGCTATAAATCTCGATTATATCACAGTGGGATTATACAACTGCATTCCACATCAACGGATACAATGGGGTTTTTCCTGGAGGACAGTAAATAAAATGCGAGAGCTGCTCGAACACAAGTTGAGTGGGATTTCCATCGATGACTAAGAATACTGATGGACAGTTAAAGCAAAAGAAGTGGAAAATTGAACAGAGATACGTTATATCCATTAATTCTTTAGAATTACTAGGAACAGACATTCTAGAAAACCTGTGGTACATGAAGTGATCTCCAAGAACGATGGATCCACAAGAATTCATTAGAACAGTTGGCTAAAACGTTGGGTAAGAAGTTTTCAATCTTTACACAACTAAAAAAATACCACGATGTTCACACATCGTTCAGTATGTGATAGTGTTACAACCCAGAAATTTGGGTACTTCAATTGATTTAATTCATCTAAACCTTTGGCATGTTTTGAATTGTATTGGACGGTTAATTCTATTAATAAACACGTTTAAGGTGCACCAAAAGAATTGTTTCATACATCGAAAAAAATTAAAATTTGTATATAACTGCAATATCTTTGTCGAAATCCCTTTAAGAGTAGAGATGAGTTAGAAAAAGTTGTACATAAATATATCAGCATTGGTATTTCTTACGATTAATGAATGACTCCACTATAAAAGTTGCAATGCTTCAAAGAGAATCATATACGGCTAAATAATATTGCGTTTGTCACACGATTTCCCAGGTTTTATTAAGTGGATGTACACCCCTAAGCGTAGTAGGGTACAATTTTGTAACAGAACTCGCAAGCGCTTCACGTATTAAACTAAATAACTTAAATTGGATTTTTGATTTTCCCATCGATTGACTGAACCGAAGTGCTCGGTCTCAGGTTGACATGTCGGCTTCTTGTGCAGATGCTTCGACGATGTCTGGGCATTTAGTCACCATCCGCCAATTAAGTAGTAAATGCCCAGACATCGTCGAAGCATCTGCACAAGAAGCCGACATGTCAACCTAAGACCGAGCACTTCGCTCCAATCAATCGACGGGAAAATCAAAAATTCAATTCAATAATTAATATGACCCGCTGCACAAGAGGTGGCTCTCGTGGTCCAAGTGGTCTAGTGGATAACGCTTTGGCGTTTGAAACTATGGGTACTGGGTTCGAGCCTCAGTGGGAACATCATCACTCACTGAGAAATGCAGGTACATCCATCTGACGAGTCCCAAATAGGACGAAATGCGCATCCTGGATTCCACTGCTAGCCACCATCCACCGATTACAAACCAAATAACAGAATGTACGTAGTACATTCAACAGTACCGATTTACAATGGATTGAGTCTTATTCTCGAATATGAGTTGCAATACCTACACATACTTTGAGACCACCCTTATAATACATTATTTATTTACTGTTCTATCCCTTTGCGTTCTTAGTGGAACATAGAGCTCTGAAGTTTCAGTAACAGTGGAGTCATTTTTACGGAATAGGGTTGCTAACCCCACACTCAGCCTTCTTTCTCTACCGCGCTTACTACGAGCCAAAAGAGGTAGAGGAGTGTCTCGGTCGGGTGTCGAACGCCGGACCTGTCAAATGATTGGCGAATGTTTTACCACTGAATCAATGACGTTGAATCGTTATGGTGTATATTTTTTTAATTACTTTTAACAATCGTCTCAGTCTGTTGGTTAAGTACTGTACTTAACGAAGACCTGTCTGTCGTTGGGCGAATTTGTCTTAGTTTGCGCCACTTTATTCTCTAACACATTTAAGAAGTTAAGCCATATATAAACTTAGGGACCACGTGCCCAATCGAACATTTCACCCAGCCAGACTAGTGAGAGTTCAGATTTATGCAAAGTGCACTCGAGATAGATAGCCAAAAGCTGCATCTGGTAAAATCAGCCCACAGGTAATTACTCCACAAGCAAATTAAGTAAAATCAGACTTACTATAAACGAAACCTGATGCAGAAGATGTTGCGTCACCCTCAGTTGCACTAACAGTATAATTTCCCGGAACAGGATCTAGTACTTATTAAATAAATGAACCACTATACCTTTAGGATTTAAGTGCAGAGTTAATTCCAAAGTATGCGTGCTTTCTGAGAATACTTCTGTGGTATAATCACTGGAAATAGTGGGCTTATCATTTGTCTTCCTTCGGTTGACTGATATTTCATTGCCATCACGCTCCCAAGAAAGCGTTAAAACTGATGGATCATTAACGTTTTTAATTTCATATTTAACTGATACAGGGACTGAGAAGTTCACTGCACGCTTGCTGTAGGACAGACCTTCCAGTTTTACCGTTGACACATAGGTTTCAACAGTCCCGTTACTCGTACAGCGAACTAAAGAATAAAACTCAAAATACAATTTAGTACCTTCTAGGCCACTGCATATCCCAACGAAGAGAAAGAGCGTCAAACACAGGTAATCAAACATAATTTGAAGTGACCACAAATGTTAGCGACCTAAAACGTTCAATGCTTAACGCTTAAGTTGATAGTTCCCTAGGCTCTGCATCCAGGATGTTCTCCTTATGCTGATGCTGAAATGAATCGTAAAACAGAAAGTCAAGTTGGATGGTAGTTGTCACCTGTAGATGATAATAACTGTTGCTTAAGTAGAGTTAAACCCCTGAATGTCTACCCTCAAAAATTTTTCACATTCAGATGATAAGGATAGAAGGCTCTTGAGGCCTGTGTTAAACCTTGCAAAATATATCTCCGCAGAAATCCAACTTCTCTTCGAAAGCGTTCACCGATGGAGCTGATACCACTGAATCAGGAAAGAAGTTCCAATCGTTGACCGCTCTGTGAGAGAATCTTAATTCTGCACGTATTTCAATCGTCATCGGCTTGAGCACTGTTTTGCGGTGACCCCGTAAATGCATCCTAGAAGGGGGGAAAAGTTTAGGAAGGTCAGTTCCTAAGTCACCCTTAAGTATACGGCTTGATAAAATTAAGTCGCCTCTCCTCCTTCGGTATGATGGCGGGAAGAAATTTAAATGCTCCATCCTCTTATCATAAGGAACGTGTGAGATACCAATACTAATTTTGTCCCTACCCTCTGTACTCTTTCCAGGATATGTGCCCGCTTTCTGAAGCATGGACTTGCCGCTTGTGTGCAGTATTCTAGGTAAGGCCTTACGTATGTTGCGTAGAGTATTTGGAACATGCCCTCGTCTAATCGTTTGAAAGCCCTCCGAAGTGCCCGTAGCATTCGAAAAGCCTTAGTTGTGGTTGCATTGCAATTTGCAATCGTCTTCAAATCATTTCTGACAATGATTCCAAGGCCTTTCCGTCCGTTAAAATCAGGTAGTTCTGTGTCCCCTAGGGAGTACGACGTATGAGACTTCTGACCTGTGCGTCGGTGGCAAAGTGGTTAAGAATCTCGCCGACCATGCACACGGCCCGGGGTTCGATTCCCTGCCGACTCACACCCGGTATCTATGGTCGGCCTGCAGAATTGGGGCTACCGATATCACATGCTGAAAATTCCATACTTGTACCGAAAGCAAGGTGTGGTACCTGGGCTACCTTTTCGTATATCTACATATTGCATTTAATACATCATTTTTTTCTCCATTAATTTTAATAAAATACGATCACAAATCGTATAAAATGCAGTAATTCATTCATTAAACGTTTCAAACCATATGACTTTCATGCATCTAATAAATCTAAGAGAAAACATCACGGGGGTTGGCAACGTGCTCTTAAACAGACACATTTATATCGTACAACTAATCCTGTTATTGTCACTTCAAACTGCCGTTCACTTCCCAACAAAATTATGCATCTCCAGTCTCTCTTATTATCTGATACTTATCACAATACGGCGATTGTTGCATTACAAGAAACATGGCTCCATGAACTCCATGATGACAATCTGGTTTCCCTAAATGGTTTTACATTGTTTAGACAAGATCGACTATGCTCCAGAAAGAAAAGAGGTGGAGGTGTTGCAACTTTCATTCATTCTCAATGGTCAACTTCAAATAATGTATGTTTTTCTTACTCTAATGACTTTATTGATTGTATAACAGTCAAATGCCTCCCGAAACACTTATCCAAGTTTAAATACGTCTTCATCTCTAACATTTATGTTACTCCTGGCTGTTCTGCCTCGGATCTATCTGATTTTGCTGACCGATTCACTGAATTTGCCGTTACACATCTTGAAAACTCTTTATCAGCTGTCACTGGAGATTTAAATTGCTGTGACTGTTCTTTCCTTTTATCATTAGGTCATGTCAATATTGTTAAATTTCCTACTCGACTTGATAAAACTATGGATCTAGTTTTCATTAATGATGAGGAAATATATGAAGCACGCAGACGTGCTCCTATAATGAACTCGGAGCATTGTACTAATCGGATATTACCTAAGATATACGGCAGATCTCACTCTAATCTGTCCAGGAAAACACATCAAAGGTGTTACTCACAGGAAAATGTGCTCAAACTAAGATGTATGCTAAATGACACAAACTGGGAACTTTTCAATGAACACACACTGGATGATACTATTTCGAATTTGACTGACTATCTTAAATTCTGCCTTGATATATGTTGTCCAAAACAGATGATTTTCAAAAGAATGGATCGTTTTTCTTCCCCTCATCTCAAAAAACTTCGTAGAGAAAAAGAGAAGCTGTACAAGACAAAGAATAAATCTGGTCTTAAGAAGATAAACATCCAAATTAAATCTGAAATCAAGAGACTAAACAACATTTATAATCAAACAATATTGTCTTGTAAAGCTTCAGAAAACTTGTGGAAGCTTTTTAGAGAAATTACAGGTTGTAGTAAGCATAGTAATTGTGCCGCTTCTATTGATGTAAATACTCTCAATAGATCTTTCATCTGCCCTTAAAATGTCTAATTTGCCTTCAATTTAACTAATAGGACGACCATTGGCTTTCTTAGTTTCGATGCTTCTGATGTTCTTAAATGTTTAAAATCTCCTAAACCTTCCCAGAGTCTAGGCCCTGGTGGTTTACCTGCCACTGTTCTAAGGAAATGTGCTGATATTTTAAGTAATCCACTTACAAACATTTTCAATACTTCTTTTTCCAATAATGTTGTCTCTTCTCTGTGGAAAGATATTAAAATCATCCCTGAACCCAAGTCTGGTTCTGGAAATAGTGTAAAGTTTACGCCTATCGCTATTACCTCTCCTCTTTTGAAACTAATGGAGAAGTTATTGTTACCAAAACTTGTTCCCTCCCTAAGCTCCTCAAATGATCCAAAGCAGTTTGCTAACAAACAGGGTAGAAGTACTTTAGACGCTGCTGCTGTGTTTCATCACAACATTGTATCCTCGTTAGAAAAAGGGGCCAAGTATATCCGTTGTACGTTCTTTGATTACACATCTGCTTTCGACTCTGTACCTAGAGGCATTAGTCAATGTAGTTGAAGATTGAACGATCAATTCATGGTTGTTTGCTCAAACCCGACTTCCCTATACTCTTGGCGGTACGTTCGAAATTGGTGACATTTTTGCACGTGTTTGCTCTGAAATTTATTTACTGCTTATTGTCATATAATTCTTGAAATTATGGTCCAAATCTCTAAAAAACGTGTTCGTAGAAACACAATTGTTTTAGATAGTGGCTTAAATTCGGTTATAACTGCATTACCGCCTGGTAATACAGTATCAACTACTAGCTCTCAAAATGGTTTGAGTGCAGATCTCACTCCTGTGATACAGGTGAAAGATGTTCTGTTAGAGAACTCTGAGTTCTGTAAACTAAACCTCCTTTTGAAAGATATGCAGAGGCAAGTAAGTGAAATTCAGAAAAAATTAGATCAGTTTGATAGTATGTCACTGCCAATCTCAAATACCACGGAGAGCCGGTCTGATATTGGTCAGGTTAAGTGTTTACTGGATGTAACTCAAAATAAGCTTTTGAATTTAGACCCAATAGCCTGTCTTTTAGAAAGGCATCCTAAAATATCTCCAGACAACCTAAATAAAGCTGAAAATCTGATTGACTGCTTGGCTACGGAGGTGATGAAGCGTATAACCTCTTCTCACCAAGCTATAGTTTACAACGTCCCAGATTCTCTGCCCCTGAAAACTGTAAGACACAAAATCCTGATTTGTTGCGGCATGGCTAGTGTTCCATGTGAATGCAAACGACTTCGTAAAAAGTCTAACCAGGCTAATTGCCCAATCATTTTTAAATTCAGTAATTCCCTTGATGCTAGTAAGTTTACTAAATGTCAGGATCACTTAAGACTGAATAGCAGTTATAAGTCTATAACCGTAGCTCAGGATAAAACACCGTGTCAGCGCAGAATAATGCGTAGTAATAACCTGGTCACCTCCTCTAGCTTTGATTTACCAAATAAGGATCGTGCACAGCAACAGACACCTAGTGCTGAAACTAGCATTCAGCAAACTACACAACAACCACACCTGCCAATGGAACTAGGAACTGATTTAGATACCAGTACCCCTGTAAAAAAAGCCTCATCGAAAGATGTTAAAATGACTAGAACTTCTGCAAGTTGTTCTAAGAAATTTCCCCCCAAACGTAGTAACCTCACCACGATGAACAAATTTCGCAGGGTTGAGACTAATGATGGGGAAGAATACTTTGTATTCAATAAGCCTGCTGAGAGTAAGAATGCCAACAAACCATCACTTGTTACGAAAAACTCCTCTCGAAACATAAGTACATCTGGAGGTGTTCCGCATGCTCCACCTTATAGAAAGTCAGGCTCCAAGACTCCTAAAGTCTTGCAGCCAAAGCACCTTCCTTCACAATTCCCTTTAAGTTATAAAAACAACCCGAAGGTGTATACCGGTATGACGAATAGCAGTTGGATGGGTAGACCTTCTGATGCTATGCCTTTTAACCGTCAACCTAGGCCCAACCTGTACTACCCTTATATCCAGGAACACATGGTAAATTTTCCAGGTGTCCCGAATCACTGGTACGACCCATGGCACCTAGGACCACCTCATTGCACTCCAACCCGATGTACAGACACCCAGTCCGACCTCCTTTTCATTCATAAATTCTTGCGGTGCTGACGCACAAATAGATTTAGGTTATGGTGACATTTTAAGCCAGTTTGTAGTATCCCGTGACTTATTCACGATATTGCTAATTAATGCACGTTCCTTAATCAATAAGATATCTGAACTAAGGACATTATTATTAGTCGCCAAGCCTACTGTAGCTCTGATTACTGAATCATGGTGCTCATCCTCTGTACTTGATGTGCATATAGGTATCGATGATTACACTGTACACCGTGCAAACAGAGATTGCAAGCGTGGTGGAGGATGTCTCATATATATACATAGCTCATTTGTAGTCAGTAAGGTGGAAGATGAAACAATGAATAATGTACCTGACTCACTCTGGGTTGTCTTACATGGAGATAAGTACAAACTTCTCATAGGCTGTGTTTATCGAGCACCAAGCTCAACAAAAGAAACTGATGCGTTATTAGCTAAATCGTTTGCACACGCATCCTCGTTTAGTGCTAATTACAAAATAATTGCAGGGGACTTCAATCTTCCAGAAGTCAATTGGCTAACTAGTTCCGGCCCCCAACGCTTCGACGAATTACTTGCCACTATAGACTGTTATGGATGGCAACAACACGTCCAGACACCTACTCGTGGTGACA